GGTTACCTTCTTCTTAAAACAGAAAATTACCACAACTATGAACATGTTAATATAATGAAATTTCATTCTTCATATTTCTAACAGATTCCCTCAATAAACATATTGGAATTTTGTCAATGTTCAGATGACAGTTTAGGTAGTGCACGCAACATTACCAAGCTTCTTCCTATCACCACAAGGGTCTTTTACACAGAAGAAATAAGCTAACTGCCATAAAATGTAAAGTACTACCAAAGTGCTTCACAGACTGTGAGGAACAGACCCTGTTTTCCTGCTGGGTGTCTTGTTTGGATCTTTTTGTTGGTGGTATTTTTATTTACTATTGGAGTTTATGCAGCATGTGGATGCTGCCATGTCTTTGACTGTTCTTGTGTACATGGAGCAAAAGGAGTTGGTCAGACACTGGCCCCAGAAACAAGGTATTGACATCACCTCAGGTCAGCCCTCAGCAGATGTCTGAAGACCAAGTGGAAACAAACCCTTTCTTTCTGCAGCCTTTATTTTTGCAGGTCTATGCCCAGCACATCCCCGTTTCTCATCAGGCTAAAACATGTGGAACAAACTGCTCTGCCAAGGGATTGTGCAAAAAGCATTCACACTCTCAAACTGTCTTCTCAGGGCCTGTCAAATTTCAAGAATAAGCCTTGTTTGGCAGCCTCAACTTTCATAAAACTGCACTCCAAATCATTAGCTTTGTCATATGGACCAGCTACATAAGTGACACCTGAAATCTCAGAATAAAGCATTTAAGCCAAATAGCACAGACACATTTTTATCTCTAAAGGCTTGGCAGGATGAAATATTCACACTTTCTGCATGACATTCATTTTTATACATCCTCACCCACATCTACATAGTAAATGTACACAACAGAAAATTAAATGCCCAAACTGAACAGATTCTCTTCTCATCTCTGTGGAAACCTGCCAAGCCCCCAGTCATCTGCCTTCCTCAGCCTTCTTTCTTTTTCATAAACCCCACCCCTTCCACATTTTGCAGAGATGTGGAAAACACTTCTGCCCCAAAATACAGAAACAAACATGGAATAATGCAGGAGCACTCCTAAACCTACCCCAAGAAGTCTACAGTCGAGCTGGTCCTGAAATTCCCCGTGCCACCACCAACCATCATCCCTGCCCATCTCAAATGCCTAGACTAGACTGCAGACTGACTACATATAGCAGCTACTCAAGAATGTGGATAAACATAATTGTGGAGCAATTAGCGTCAGGCTTCAATCTATTGCTCAAGCTCCAGCAACGTCACCGAGCCAACCCGGCCCTGCAGCCTGCATTTTCACACTAATCCTGGTCTCTAAATCCTTGCCCGTAGACAACTCACACAGACACTCAGAATTTCAGCATTTTGCTTTCAAAACGCTCAGTCCCTGCACACAGCTTATCACAAAGGGCACAGCAGGATTCAAAAATAAACACAGCTTTGCAGCACCTATTTTGTGGATTGTTTAGCCAAGCTTGCTGTTGACATCTGCCAAACCCACAGAGGCTGAGGATTATCAATAGATTTAAATTCCCTAATCTGAATTTTTGGACAGCCACATCCTTAAATCTGTTTTCTTGGATAGTTTTTGGGTTTGCCCTTGATAAAATACTAACAGAAATCAAATCCCAAAGAGTATATGCCAGCATTATCAATACTTCAGTAACTTTCCATTGTTAAGTTTCAAGAAAGCTCCGGTTACTTTGTAAATTAACAATCTTAAATTACAGAAAAATGTTGAAATTACAATGGACAGCAAATAAACTTTCAAAAACTGATTAAAAAAAAAATCTCATTTATATAAGCTTCTATTTGCATTACTGAATGCAAACTGAATTAGAACAAGAGTGCTATTGTCATCAGAAGGTGAAGTGTTGGATCTTTCAGAATGGGAAATCTGGATCTCTTTACTCTTCTTACAGGAGGAATTGTATGATGAGCTAAGGAGTCATCCTGAAGAAATACTGAAGAAAGCCCAAGAAATACTCTCTGCCCTGAATTAGGAATCAAAACAAGTCCCTCAAAAATCTGTAGCAAACTAATGTTTTTGCAGTGGAAGCAGACTATAATATATTACAATAACTTTCAAGTGAGAATCTCGGGACAAAACAGGTAAATTAGAATATCATTGGTTTATTCTTATTTGTGGCTGTCCATCAGATATTCTTTATCATCTTTATTAAATTAGAATATCATCAGTTTATTCTTACCCTGATGGGCAAGTGCAGCACTAAAGGAAAAATATAATAGAATAAACACATATCTTCCTACTTACTTCAATGGCATTAAGCTTCATGTGTAAATACTTTGCGTGTACATAAAAAACTTCCTACTACCCCTTCTGTAGTGTGTAGTAGGAGTTCTGTCTCCAAGGTACAAGAACATTCTAGGTAAAGCACATGCAGTAATGATAAACCTATCTGCTTCCTTAGTACAAACATGATTAAAGTAGACTTTTTTACCTTCAGCCTATCAAATACATTTTTGACAAAAAACATTCTTTGTAGAAATGATGTTAGTTCTAACCTTCAGAACAGACACAGAAGTCAGTATCTGACTTAAGAATTAGGTTCAGAAGGGAGCCACACATTTTTAGTCAAAGGTGTTAAGTAATTTGCAATTAGATGGATATAGTTACTGCCATTAGCTACACCTCAGCTAACATTTCAAATGTTTAGCCATCATGTTTACAAACATACCACAGAGTAAACGGCTCCAGTTACCACTATACTTTTTGCGCTGTACATCCTAAGACATTATTGAATTTTCCTTGAGTTACAGAATTGTACACTGTTAAAATTTACTTTGCTTATTGTTTTAATATAATTAATTTTAAACACTATATTTTCCATGAAGTAGTTACTTAAATTCTCAACAATAATTGTTTTTGTAAGCATTTTCTGAAGATCTTTAATAATTTTTGTGAGATTCATTTGTTACAAAACTTGACATAAAAATATGTGGTAAGCATCCTCTTCTCTTGCTTGACCTTACTCCATGACATTCATTCAAGCAACTGTTCATCACAGAATTGTTTTTCTCAATTTAAGGATTATGACATTACATCATTTTTTGTTCAAACTAGAGCTGCATAGAAAATTAATTGTTTTGCCTCAAAATAATATCTCTGCTTTTGATTTAATTGAAAATAAGTCAACGGTTTCTGATTATAAAATGAACCTGTCTGGAAACACAAGGATAACTAAGTGGGTAGTATAGGAAATACAGCTGATTCAGGATTTGCTAATGGACAATTTGTCTATCATCCATCCTTTGAATTACAGTACTGCTATGCAGTCCCAATACTAATACTGTAGGAGTGACCTCTAGAAACCTAAACCAATCAAGATTCTTTTTCAAACACGCTTAAATTAAAACATGGTATAGTACGAGTCATGTATGCTTCTGGCATACTACTTGACTCCCATTTTCAATGTTCATATATAACTCCATTATTTCCGTGTTGCTGAACCAAGCTGCTTGGCCAGCGCTCTTGCCTCATGAGCACCTCTTCTACAAATGTATTGATGAATTTGATCCTCGAATCACGAGGCAAAACTTTCCCATCTTTCCCAGCAGAAAAAAACATGCAAGTTAGAACTGAAGAGTGAACAGCACTACCTGCATTATTTTAAAGCTTTTGAGTTTGTACAAATTAGGGAAGCTGCATTGTAATTCAGTATGAAAGTGAAGAGAGCCTTGTTCTTTCATTTTTCTCCTGCAGAACTACATCTCCTGTACTCACCTACTTACTCATGACCTTCTAAGATGTTGAACTCCAACAAAATAAGAAAATTACATACGAGAGACAGCCTTGTCTCTAGAACACCACCCCACAAACACAATTACCCATTTGGCTTGTGTGTTAGTGCAAGCTTCTGTCTCCCACCTCAGCCTACATATTTATGCTTCATCAAACATAAAAGAAAGAGCTAGTGAAAACAAAGAGTCCTGCCCGAAGATGTCAGCAGTACCAGTCCAGTGTCCAGCTTTCTAAAGGTATGCCAAGGACCAGCTCCAAAGAGATCTGGCACTGAGATCTCCATTCAGACACCTGACCACTTGCAATGTATTTTCATAAATACCTTCTTCTGTTTAATGCAAACAATACAACCTAGCTTAATAAACCCTTGAAGCAAGTAACAGCTTTGTTTTTCCTTTTCATGGAAGTATTTTGATTTGCACATACTTTGATGTCATGCTTCTGAAATAAAACTTACAGCACCCTCCCATGTACAATTACTCTTTTTATAGATTATTCCCATCTTCCACATAGTTTAAACATACTCCCTGGATTTTCAAAGAGGGATGTAGGGAAGTGGGTAAGGATTCTGTGTTTTCGGCTGATTTTTATCCTCAGTTGAGTTTCTAGTTTAAACACTATACAGATTCCAACCAAGATACATAAATCTCTTAGAAAACCCTGTCAGAATAAGATTTATGAAAACACTCTCTCCCTAGCGTTCCCTAACCTAATTAAAAACTCCTCGTTGATTTTTGTTTCAAAATAGCACCAGTCTAAAAATACTATCATAAACAAACAGCAGTGAGCCACAGATCGTCAGTTAGGAATTGGTACAGAATACTTAACAAAGGGAATCGAGATAAAAAGGAATATAATTCAATCTTTGATTTTGACAGGGAAAAAAATGTATCGTTGTTGTGTTTTTTAAAGAATACAAAGCTTGTTCAAAGACATCCACAAAATGCCTCAAGGCAGAAATTGCACTACAGTCTCTCTTACGCTCAGAATGTATATCACTGTATTTAGTTTACCCATCATAAGTATTTGTTTACCTATGGTGTAAAAACACAAGTTTGGCTTTCAGAACTTTCTGTTTCAATTACCAGACATGCTAAGACATCTCTCTTTGGCTTACTTTTCTAAGTCAGGAATGACACACTTGATTCAAACTTACATGTATTCTGATTCATGATCTATGCTATTAAACTTTAATAACAGCTCTCACATTAAATGTTTACCATTATAAAGGTCTTACCTCAAAAATTTCAAAGCCATAGATGTCCAGCACCCCCATTACCTTCTTTCTCACTTTTGTTTGTGCCTTAAAAAGATAGTAATTAAACATTGAGTCAGTCATCTGTACATTTCATACTTGGGAATCAAGAAAACTAATGCATCTCATGAGTAGGCTGTCAAAGTCTGTAAACTAAAATGTTAAGTATGGCTTCCCAAAATACACATGGCATGAATTATTTTATTAGCTTAAAAACAGAGCAGACAGCAATTTGTTGAGCTGTGATACAGTTATTCACCTGTACCATGTCTAACAGTGTACAACTAGGAAAAATGAAATTGGCAAATAGAATTCTACCAACCACTTTAAAGGGTTTCTATTGATTTTTTTACAGGCACAAAACAATGATACCTTAATGCTTTCATTGATTCTGGTAACAAGCCAAGAGAACAGTCGACTGTATAGATTCTTAGCCAGAGCATCACGGGCATAGTAAGCCTAAACAGAAGAAAGAAGAAAAATGTTATAAATGCTGGGCTATTCCCAACATTTTTGTTACTGACATATCTTAAAGGTGCTATGAACCTTTAAGTGGAATGGCTCAGGAAGCAGTGCCTCTGCCCAGTCAGGCAATGAAGCCAGTCCAGGGGTGTCAGGACACTTTGGCAGTGTTGGTAGCCTGGTGATGTACCCCTCTGCCTTCCTGGCCACGGGCTGGCCGCTGTGGAACAGCAGCCACAATGAGGGCACTTCAGCTCCCTTTCTGCTCACCCGGATATACTCTAAAGACCCACATCCCCCATCCTAACCCTAGGCAAAGGGAGCTGAGCAGCTGCAGATAGGGAAACAACATTCCTGCTAGTCTGAGCTGATGAGACACAGGTGGCAATCACACAGCATTACAGAAAGATAAGTCGACGCTGGCAGCAGCAGTTTTTCAGCAACCCCGGGGCATTCAACTCACATGAAATTACACCAGTTGCTCTAAATGAAAACAGTCTGCCACAACACTTTCAACATGCCTTTGTGCAGAACCGTTTCATCTTTTCATTCTCTGCAACCCTTTCCTATTCTGCATCTTTTTGAGGTAACCCACAAGCAAAACATCCACCTGAACATTTAGAAACTGCTGAAGAAAAAACACACTTATGTTGATTATACGTTCTATTCAGAACACCCTATTAGTTGTAGCTTTTATTTGGGCAGTCATGGTTTAGTCGTGTAGAATAAATTGCCATTTTAAACAATTCTTTCCTTTTAATTCAGGTGTTCTTTTTACCTGAGCCACATTCAGTGTTGTTGAAACTTTCTCTTGCTTGGCTTCAACCGTCCGGAAGCTGAAAGCTCTTTCCAATACAGACTGGTCTATACCTGTCAACTCGCAGATTTCCTTGAGTTCTAACATGAAAAAGCAGAGTGTAAATATAATGAATCCTTTTGTATCATTGCTTTTCCTTCCACAAAACTATTGGCTCTTAAGTAGTTCAGTATTTTCCCAAATCAGGTTCTCTTCAAGAGAAACAACCACCCCTTAACACTTCCTGCCAGCTACACAGTTGCCAAGCAAAGCTTCTTAAAAATATGCACATCACAAGAAAACAGAGTTATTAGTTTTGAAAGCACTTTCTATCTGGTTATTTTTGTGAAGGTAAATACCTGATTTTCTGTCAGTAACTGCTTTTCATGAAGAAAAACTTCCAAATGAAAATAAATGAACTTTCAAAAGGTATCAACTGCAAAAAACATGATGAAATGAATCTGATGTTACAGGCAGAGATGCCCTACTATAAAAAAAAAAAGGCCTTCACTGCAGAATAACCAAGCCCTTGCAGAAATGCATAGCACCATCTAACATTTCAGAAGAAAGTGTTAAGAAAGTGGAGAAAAAAAGAAACTAATCATTTGTGGAATTTCAAACAGGACAACTGACATTGCACAGAATTCAACTCATATTTGCCTGCGGGTGAGTTCTGGAAACAATCTAATTTAATTCATCTGTAAGGATATAGTATGTCTACAGAAATTACAAAAATTAGTAATGACTTCAGCCAAATTAGTGTTTTTCCTGCCATTACTAATCTCATCTTACCGTTTTTATCTTTGATTTTACTCTCATCTAGTCCATTCACACGAGATTCAGGCTTAAATTCAATATTTCCCAATTTCAGAACGGCTGCCACCACTTCAAAAACAGACTGTGTTTCATGATCCATAAAGCCAACTATCTGCATTGCATTCTGGAAATGGGACAGATAAAACTATGAGATAAAAGAATCTACACACACACACATATATATAAAAAGGTTGAATAACAATGGATGTGAATGTCAATCCAGTCCTTTTCTAGTATTCCTCCAGTTTATGTGTTTCTAAAATGCAGTACTTCTTTTTTTAAAGCCACTTAATTAAGTTTGTAACCCAACCCAGTTTTCCACAGTCAAATGACCAGATTGACAGAAGATACTGTCCTCTTGGTTCACTCTGTCGCTCTAAAAGCCAGTAACTTTCAGAATCTAAATTTGCATAGACTGGGTAACAGGATCCTGTATTCTCCTTATCCGTGAGTACAATCAAGCAAAAAGCACCACAGTAAACCATCTTGAGAACCATCCCAGCCTGCTTTCCTTTTGACTTGGTCAGCATCACTGGGTTCGCGAAGATCAGTCGCTGCCATCATAAGCAGCTACACAATGCAACTTTTTCTATGGGCTCATCAAGGGGCCTGGGCTGCTTTTTAATTCTCCTTCCTTTTTTATTTTTGGTCTTTTTTTGTATTTCCACTAGAAACTTGGTTCTTTGCATTTTCTAGTTGTACCTAAGCTTCCCTGTACAAATATGCTATACTCTTGCATGAAAGGTGCTAGCACTCATAGAAGATGGCCCTCTCAGCCCAGCCCAACTGGCCAGACCTAGAGAACAAGAACTCTTGTTCTTATTCATGTTGAGCCCTTTGGGGCTTACACCCAACCCCTGTTTCTTCTTACCCTAACAGTTCTGAAGTTTGCAGCATCATCCACTCCATTCACTTTGGCAGAATCAAGGCCCAGGTAGTTGTATCTGCTGAAGTCCCGCTCCAGTTTAAGTTTGCCTAATAATTCAAATAAAAATATCATTAGTAACAGCATGTTTGTTGTTAGCTCCTTTATCCCTGAATTAGTATTGTTAAGACCTGTTGTTACTAGTAGGTTTAAGTTTTCTTCAAGGATCTTTATTATAAACCTTCTTAATAAGAATAGGCTTTCTTCTTTGCTTATAATACACTGCAAAGCCATTCCTGACTCAGATATTCAGCTAATACCAAACCATATATTTACTTCAGGTATTACTATTGCCGCTACCACCATATTACATTTCCCACAAAAGATGATGGGTGTGGAAAAGCACATTAAGTATGAAGAAAACCCACATCTGAAAATGGCACAGGGGCAACACTTACAGAGGAAGTCTTCCGATGCACCAGACAGTATCTGATAGAAAATGTGAAAGTTTCTTTCGCCTCTTGGCTGCTTAACAACACGAGACTTCTCCAGCAGATCTAAACAAGCAAACAAAATCTTACATGTCAGGGAAAGACTGCTGGAGCAAAACTTTTTTATGTGAACATAATCCCCCATCGTTCTCTACTTCATTGCTTTATATCATCAGCAGCAAATTAGAAAGTGATAAATGGTAGGCACAAACCTTATCAGAATGTATCACATCAGTACATATTTCTCAAATAAGTTATCTGAGCAAGCTGTAAACCCAGTATATTCACAAAAGCTGCAGTCTATGAGCTGCAAAGAAAACTCACGTCAGGGAGACAATCAATATGGTGCTCAAAAGATGTCAACCAATTTACAGTACCATCACAAAATTAAGACTTAGTGAGATTAATTATATGGGTAAAGGTTTGAAAAGAACTGAAATGTCAACAGGCTAAGCACAGGGAAGATGGGAAAATGAAAGGGGGAAGCCAAATAAAGAATTTACACTGAATGATCATGGAGCACTTTGTGATCCTCAGGTGCATCAGACTATGAAATAACTCCCAATGAGACTGACAGAAGCTCCATCATAAGACACTTCAAGTGAAACAGAAAAGCAACACTTTGAAAAGCATCATTGCATTCATTGAGTAATCTGACAAGATCACTTCGACCACTGGCATGAGTGATGGGCACATTTCTAAACCTTACCCATAAGGGCAGGAATCTAGGCAGACAGCAGAAGCAGCCTGACTTGTAACACCCTGCAAACACTTCAGACACTCCATCATATTTACCACAGAGGTGACAATACAAAGCTGGGGACCACAGCCTTTACTACATGGAAAGGCTGTGGTTCCCAGCGCACCAGGGAAGGTGTGCAATAAGAGAACCCCAGACAGGTATCAGTGTCACTCTCTGGTTTTTCCTTCTTTTCTCACTGGCAAACAAGGGCTCCACACCATTTTTCCAGATAGCAAACCCACAGTTCCCAGTACACAATTTCTCTTAAGCTACATATATCCAGTGACATGAAGACAGAGACATTCGGTGCCTCATTCCAAGTACGCAACAAAGGAGTTTCCCCGTGCACCTGTTACCGCATAACCACCACAGCTCTCTGACTGGGGTTAAGCTCTCTCTAGGCTATGCTCATGCAAGAAGCAAGCTCCAAAAAGGAAGTTAACGCACCCTGGATGTCAATCTACAGAAGAACTCCCACAAAGTTGAGACATTCAACAATGGTAAAACACAGGGAACACCAATTCATTTAAGGACATGTGGGGCTGCTAAACACTTCCCCTGCCTGGCTCCTGTAATATCCAGTGAAACTTAGCCTGTTTAGTCTTAGCAATCCGGAAAGTTAGAGGCACTGCTCAGTGCAGCCCCTTTTATGCTGCAAACCCTCCCTCTATCACTGCCAGGGGATGCTGCTGGGGAGCAGGTACCTCTGTGTCAGGCTTCAGTCCCTGGGCTCCACTGGCTTTCTGGCACACCACTACTTAGCCCAAGGGGAGTGCCTGCTGTGGGCAGAACAGTGCAATAGAGTCCATTCATATTTTCTCTAGCTACAGGCAGAATGTTGTGCCTGTGTTGCCCACCTACTGTGCTGTGTGACCACATGAGAACTTTGGCCTTTTTTGAACAGACATTTGTATTTTTATAACTCAATAACCCTACAGTCTTTTTCCTTCCAAAAGTGGCCCTGTTTCAGCACCTGGAAGTTTTGCACATCCTGATGACAAAGCACACCCAAGACACACACAAACAAGTGGCTGTCACATTTGCCAGCAGCTCACCTTTACAGTTGGCTGGGGCAGGTTACAGATTTCCACTTTTGCTTTTTCCATTTCACTGACATCTTTTTTTTTCCTTAAACACAAGACTAACATCTGACTGTTGATGCTATGTTGGAAAAGCATAGACCAGAAGCTGTAGTTCTCACCAGCAGCCTGGTGTGCAGCCACTCTGCTTCTAACTTCACCTGCATTTGGGGCTCTCCTCTTTGAGCTGTGGTTCAAAATCAGTCATCCTATTTAGCCTAACCAGTTAGCTCACCTACCTGTTGGATACCTGGTCCTCTCTAGATTTTAATGCATAACTGAAAGGGAGAGGCTGGTCCACCATCCACCCAAGTGTTAATACTTGGGCTGAGAAAGGCAAGGTGAGGGCCAAGCAGTTCAGTCACGCTGGCTGTGAAGGCTCTCCAGTGAAGTGTTGGAATGGACTGCAGCCAAATTTAATCTCAAAGAAACAAACAACTTCAGCTCCCGCAGTGGCTACACACACTTCAGGAAATGGCTGTATTTCCAAAGTGTATTGAAGCAGTGCGGCTTGGCTTATTTGGGTTTAAAATATTCCACATATAAATTTACTCCAATGCTGTCACAAAAGCTCAGCTACATATTGTAAGCCTTCTTCTAATTACATGCATGCCTTCAGCAGATTTAACAAATAGTTTCTTGAACATATGCCAAATTAGCTATGTTAGAAGGATAACTGTCTTGGATTTTTCACCACAGTTCATCTTATTTATATACTTAAGAAGCAACAAGGTTAACTTATTAACAGTCAGCTTCCCAATGCCCCAATATTCCATATTCTGCCAGCCTTTGTAATTGAGGGAAAGAGCTCCAGAAAGCTTTTTTACTGTTGGAAAATCAGGTATTTACCTTAACAAAGCTGCTACCAATTCTTTCTAAAGCTATATTTACTCTCCTTTTTTCCCCTTTTCTTTCTGTTCACATGCAGGCTGAAATCAGACTGGTAGAAAAGACCCAGACCATCTGCCCTGCTCTTCAGAAATCTTCCCTTTGTTTGTCCTGATTAGCATTTTAATTTATCAACCAAATATATTTTCCTTAAAGCAACTACTGCACAACCTGTAGCTTTTGTGTTAACTCTCACATGGTTACAAATTCTGCGGATTAAGCATCTGAGAGAAGATTTCTGCATGCATCCACTTGGCAATTCTGTTTACAGCAGCATGTGCAGGCAGATGGTGCTTATCTATATGAAAACCCACACAAGCAAAAAACCCAAATCTCTATACATGTTACATTTTGTTATCTAGTCTGTATAAATTATGTATAGTGACTATAGAGATTTATCTGGAGAGAACATACAGAACAACATATGGTGTATTTATGGATTCCTTCCGCATTATCTAACAATACTTCTGCTTGAATGGAAACATTTAACATGTTGGTTGTATTAAAGCAAGTGTAAAAATTAAATTCCTTTGGAAAGGTCCACCCTGGAAACACTTCTTAAATCATCCTGTTTGAATATCCATCCATTCAGATGACTCAAAATCCATCTACATTCCTCAGGTGCTGAAGATTATTTGTTATTCCCAGATAATACTGGTTTAAATGTGAGAGATCTGTGTGAGCATCCTGCTAAACCATTCAACTGAACTCAACATGAAGAAATTAAACGTTAAATGAAGAAAAACCAACAGTACTTTGGTACATTCTGAATAATGCAGGAGAAGTTTATTTTGGTCATAGTCTCTTTAGCTGGCCATGGCTAAGGACCTTTATAGCTCTTCAACCAAAGTTACAGGACATTTTGCTAAATTCTCTCTTCTGTTTTCATACTTTGTTTCTTCAGCTGTCACCAAAAAAAGCCACTCATAAAAAAGAAAACCCAGTAGTGGTTTCTCAGGAGTATTTTCCCATTATTCCCATCAAGTTTATACTATTGTTCGCTTGAATGAAATGATCCATAACTGTATCAAACAAAAGCTACCATTTGGGCAGTATGTGCAGTGAAAATACGACTACACAATTTTAAGAGTGTTAAATCCTGATTACTCAGGTGATAAGTGACGTCTAAAAATGAACTAATCAAAACGTTTAGTATTGTTTGGTTTTTTAAACACTTTCTAATTTAGGCAAGGCAATTGCCTTAACACTGGCAACTGTGCTAACAGGGAGACCACGGGAGATATTGGAATAAGTTAAGGTTAAACAAAAATCAACGAGAAGGAGTATCTCCTTCCATAATGTCTAATTGTAAAATTTGTGTAATATTTCCCTAAGCAAAGCAGCTTACTAACAGCAATCACACAACTAAAATCAACAGCCCAAGTTGTTGATTTCTCAGTAAGTGGGTAATTACTTTTGTCTTTTAAAATGAACAAGCAAGTTGTAAAGAAGAACATGCTGTAAAGTTATCACTATCACTCTGCTAACTTTAAAAAGTTGCTGCTTTAAATGAACATCATAGGCTTCTTTCATGTTCTTGGAAAAGATGGCAAAACAGAGGCCTTTCTTAATCACTTGTTATTTGGGCTTTAGGTACACTGTGCTGGTTAAAAACAGCTTTTTCAAAAGCAGGTATTACATATACTGTACTTCACCTGCAACACTGTTGTCTTCTAGTTAATCATTAAATCACTGAAGGGCTTAGGCAGATTAGGAAAGATCACCTAATGCTAGAAGCTAGGTAACTTTCAGCAGGAAATTCCAGGTGAAATGTGAAAATTCAAGACTTAGAAATATTCTGGGAAAGATATTGTAAAATCCCTACTTTTCAAGAGGTCTGAACAACTTCAAGAATGAAATATTTTGGACTGTACTATGCAAAACCATTTCAACCATAACATTTAGTGTACACAAAACAGTCACAAAACTAACAAACCAAGTGTGCACACAAACATTGCCTTCAGTGCAAAATAGATGCAGCATCTGTGGAGAGAGTCATATTTTAGAGCTGTACAAGATACTGCACCTATTACTTGAAAACCAAACATGCCCATTTTTACATAAAATATGTATTATTCTATAATTACAGGTGAAAAAGAAACTACTATTCTCCTTTCACTTGCTCTCACCCCCACTAACAAAGTAGTTACAATAAATGGAAAACTAAGAATAGTATTAATGGTTTCTGTAATGTATTTCCACAATGTTGCACTCAGGTGAAAGCAAGTTAATTACCCAATTCTCCAAATGCCTTTCCTCACAAGTGCTTTGGGGAAAAAAAAAAACCTCTAAGCACATAAGCACTGATAACACTGTTCATTGCAACACCAGCAACTGCGAGCACCTCATGGGAGGACAGAAAGAGCAGACACACTCATACTCAATTCAGTAAGAGAAAATGTAAATGCAATTAACCTGTTTGTCAATGCATTTTAAAGCAGCAGCACACCTTTCAGTAGGGACTGGTGTTTATTACAAAACAGTAATGGGATGTCTACAACCACAAGTGACAGTACAGTGAAAGTTCAGGGTTCAGAAATGCTCACAGGAGTAATTTGGCCTCTCAATTCCACCCCCACAGGAAACAGGTCAGCCAATGAATAGATGGGCTTTTTGTTAGCTAGCACCAGGACTATGCACCTCACCTTACATGGATTCCTGCATCTCCCACCCATTAGGAAAACAAATTGGGACCTTCACATAAAACTAACAAAAAGGGAGGATAAACAACTCAGGCTTACAACATACTTCAGCTTACTCAGCCTTCTTCACCCTCCTGCTCACCCCCATCCCTTGGGTGCTGCTGACATAGGGTCAAATAAATATAACACATACTACCTGAAATAACTTTTAGTTTGTAGTCTAAAGGAAAAAAAAAAAATCCTGACTCAAGGAATAAACTTGAATTTACCTCAACCAACGCTCATCTCAAAGTTTCCACTCTCAGTTTCTTTTCATGACTGCACATACAGCAACATGTCAAACGCCTTGGAAATCAGTGCAGTCGAAAGCTCTGATCAGCCACGTAATGCACATGTAATTGGTCTATGTGCATTTTACACTGTTCAAACATAAAGTTATCTTCAGCTTGGGAACATACAAGTTCTGACTTAATAGGCATCACAAACCCTTTCCATTGCAATCTCTTCCATTTCATTATTCCCATTCTAATTTTACTCAAACGATTTACCCTTCCATTTATGGCACATTAAAAATTTCAGATCTCTCTGCTCCCACTAAAGCAAATGGACATTTCCATTCATTGCAAACTGGACAGGACAGACACAGTATGCATTGTCATGATAATTTTACCCTCTAGCTCCATTCCATGAAAGGTTCACTTGTAGGTTAACCCCTGTCATTAAGAAGTAAAAGTTCATTGAAGGGCATCACAAGAATGGCCCAAGGGTAGGTCACAATAGCGTCAGCCCTACATGAAGGGTCATGGACAGACTGACTAGCCTTTCACAGAGCTTCACAGCATTTCAGAGTAGGACAGGCCAGACCATTTCAAACAAGACCTTTCAGCCTAATGGGTCTCTGCTTATCTTTACCAGACTGATAAAATTTATGTCTTATCTTCATTACCTTTCCGGCCACCAAAATAAACTAGATGTCCACGGTGTCTGCCTCCAGTCACTCATGATATGAAATACAGCTTGGTGACATAGCCTGTGACCCAAAAAGCCTACTAACTTCTTTGATATTTGGAAATCAAGCTCATCACATACAACTATTAAAGTTTAATCAAAATATTATGATCTCTTCACATCATATTAACACAATACCAACAGATGGTCAGAAATCAAAGAATACTTATGACCAGTATAATCATACTTCCTTTTTAAGGATAGGAAACTTCAGCACTACTTCCTACTTGATGAATTAAGAAGACAAATCCTAAATTTGACTAAAACCAGAGTAAATTATGAGTGGTATAAAATAATGTTAAGCCGCAGTATCTCCAGGATGGTTATACCTCACAACAGGAACATTTCTATTGCAAATCAATGCTGCAGATATGTGGAAAAGATCTGAAGCAGAACAATAAACTTGCTTTAAAACCATACAGAATTCAAACTCCTTTTTTAAAAAGAGAGGGATGGACTGTCAAATTTTATGCATATTACATGAAGTTCAACAAGTAACATCTTTACCACAACAGGGATTACACAAAAGACCTTTATTTTTAAATTTAATCTTCTTGCTATTAGATATGTATTAATGTGAAAAGACAAGGAGGATGCCTAAAATAGGCAGCTTTTAGGAAGACCTAAAAACATGTCTGCCCTTGATTACATTTGTCATCACATCATTATAATTACATGTAATGTTGTAATTACAACATGCAAAGATATATAAGGCAGATAAACTACAGAGTAGCTACTTAGACTGCCTTTTGGTATGATACAATATTTTAATTAGATGAATCAGCATGGTACTTACAAACTGCTGAATGTCCACTATGAAAGAGGGTTTTTTTCCTATGTATCTCTTCTGAATACAAAATAAAAAGGAGCAAACAGCACAGCTAGCCTGCCACAACCTTTTTGTTTGCATTTAATTATCAATGAATACACTGAGTATGTTTGGCCTCTGATTTCACTACCAAATGACAAAGTTAATAGATAGCCGTAAACGCTTCAATAGTGACTGCCTTGAATTTCCAGATTTACTCTGTCACAAAAAAACATGCTCTTTCAGTTCCAAAAGGTGACCTGGTCCAGAAAAGATGTTTACCTTTTGAAAAAAAAACAAACTCTATGTTTGCGCATAAAATTTTTCACAATGTGTTAAAATGTTGGTATTGCACATGGAGCACTCAGTTCACCTTGGGTGATTCTCATTTTTTCACAACCAGTAAAATGCCAATGGAATCAGAAAGTCAGCCTTAGAAAGAGCAATGAATTTGGCCAAGTGCGAAGAGAGGTCAATGTTAGGTCAGTGACACCTAGTATAGTCACTCACTGCCCTCATCCATCCCTTCTTAAAAAATAAGAAAAGCAAACAAACATAGCTTTATATAGCACAGAAGAGCAATTTATTTTAAAAGCTGCATTTAAACTCTCAAAAGGAAAGAAAGACACAGCATACTGGGCTGGCATTCAGCTCACAGCAACTTTCTTCCCAACAAAGACCTGGTTAAAATTCCTGAATCGCCATAGATTTTATAGCAGCACTCTCATGTCAAGTAACAACTCCAAGGCCACCTCTGCCTAAACCTAAACTCAACAGCCATTTGTCCTCTCTCACGATAAGCCTTTTCCTACTCTGTGAGGTATGTCAAAACTAGTACAGAATGCTTTGATTCCAAATACACATACTCACCTCTTGCTGACCTCCAGCATACTTTGTATCACTTTAAACATTACAAAACAGCCTATCTCAGACTCCATCTACCATAAATACATGACACATCAAATAAAGTCATAAAACTGACCCAAGGGATTCAAGTATGAAAAGAGTCTCAGATACCATTATCCATCTGCTATGCTTCAGAGAGTATACGAATCCACACACACTACCCAATACCTTTTACACAACACAGTAAGTTCACTATTCATGCTTTCAAGTCTGTCTTCACTCACTAGAAGGTACCCTATTCAGCCCCAAAACAATAACATTAAAAAGCAGAGTTTATCATGTAATGGAGAGATTTGATTAGACAAATGCAGTTCATCTTTTCAATAATTTAACCATCTTTATTTTTGAACAAAACGCTTTAAGCTGTTAATACACTGATGCCAAGAGTAATACTCACAGTTGCTTATCACTCCTCCAAGTGGGTCACCCTTGAAATCAAACTCAATATCCATGTATTTTCCCTGTGAAAGCAACATAATTTAAGACTGCAAATTCTGATTAAGAAAAACTGCTCAAGGCATTTTCAAAGTAGTTAGCTAGTCATTTTTACAGATTAAAAGAGAAATCTGGCACCTCCTGCACACTCTGTCAAATTCTGAAGAACAGAAAATGATTCAAAGCTTTTAAGACAATTGCATTATCACAGCCAGAGGTTTTCATGAGAATAGCTTTAATCAGGTTTGTAACACAACCCAGTAATTTGCTCAGTTTCTAAGGTTCTATGAAGAAAATGTTATATAAACTTTCTCTAGACAGCCAACAACACCAATGTGTCCGTGCAGGTATTATCATGCTTATTAACAGGAAATGCAGGAAGAAATTATCTTCCACAGAGAATCATTTTCTAAGTGTAAAATGTTTTCAGAGTGTGAGTCAAGGCCACTGAAGGATAGCCGCACAGTTTGGCATGAAGGACTGGCCGGCAACAGCTACTGTTAGTTAATCGTGGGGTGTCTGTCCCTAAGCGTGTGCCTGCCTTGTAAAAGTGATGGCTTTTTCCCACTGAACTCTTTCCCTCATAACTCAGGAGACCAGAGGCAACAATTAGCAGACTGTCTCCAGAAAAGCGATTTCATTTCTAGCTGTACTGGCACAGTGCATTTTCCTGACTCCTGTCTGACTTTTCCACATCACAGAAGATCGCTCTTGTCTTTGCATCATGTTAATGTATATGACAAGAGTTTAATGTAGTAACAGCTACATTTAACAGTGACAAAATGGACAGACCCATCTGTGTAGAAAAGGCAAAAGCAGTGCAGATTACATTGGCACGGAAGTTTAGAAAGATAAAAACTGCTGGTAGTAATTCAACCAAATTCCACAAACCATGCACAGAAATGATCTCACCACTCTCTGGTGCTTACTTAACAGAGGACAAAACCAACCTATTGAAAACAGAAGCCTTGTGTTTATACTTGCTTATTCACTGCATTTAGGAAGAGCTTTCTTTTTTTTTCGTTCTCTTTTAATTACAGAACACAAAACCAAGCACTTTATACTGACTCCCTCAATAATACTTTCTAATTTACTGGGTATTCTGTCAAGATTGGCTTGACTCTACTTAAACTCTATTCTTCTCCTGAGGCAGGCTACACAGGACAGTACTTGTACTTTCTTGTTTGAAGTTAATTCTGAGCTGACTCAAATTTCTGAGATAAGAATTAAATCAGATAATTATATTTTAATTTCCCAAGGACTGGGCCAGCTGGATGTTTCCAAAAGTATTTTTAGCTTTTTGTTTATAAGCAAGGACTTGAAAGGCAGAATAGTAGTCGGTTGCACTTTGTCCTGGAAAGACTTCTGTTTGCAAATGACACCTCTTCTCCCCTTCGCTGTCTCCTCCTCTTTTCCATAGTATACCATCTCTCATAGCTGCATTATTTCTAATCCTTTTTATCCCCAAAAATTTTCTACGGTGCCTCAAATTTTGTCCCTGACCTTGCAATGAAGACCCTTTGCTCTGTTCACAAGAAGGGGCAATGACAGCTGCAGAAAGAGCATTCACAGTATCATCAACCCTTGAGAATCAGAAAGAGACATCTCCCATGTGGAAAAAAGACACTTTTCAGTGTCACAATATCGCAGCTTTTATCCATTTGTTTTTACTCACAATGCAGCATGTTCCCAGTGTATTAATTTGTCTTCTGTTGTCTACTTTACGCAGCTCACAATATTACTCTTCTGCACATAAGTGAGCAAATTACAAAGTTGCATTCAGTCTTTTGATTTTAGCAGGAGAAACTGTGATGAGTACTCCCACAACTGAATCTCCCAACTCTAGTTTGCACTTCTGGCCAATTCTCAACTCCTATAATTCCACATTCAGTTTCATGCTAAAAAAAAAGCCTGAATTCAACCAGTTCATTATGAAGAATATAAGCAAAAAAAGTAACATTACAAATGTTTATATTGAAACTAAAGTTGCAAGCACAGTTTGAAACATCAGAGAGAAAATGAGAACCTGAAGTAGCAATTTTAACAAAAAATGTACAGGTATTGATGCAAAAGGAGATCACACAAAGATCAGTTTGCTAAGCAGACCAGTTGCTAGGGACATGGTCACCAACATTAAAGCCACCAGTGCCAGAAAACTAATGACTCCAGCTGTGCTGTAATTATGTTTTCATCCGGTCACAGACTGTCACATCCTAATTTATTTAGTTTTTCTTTCCTTTTCTTTTTTTTTAGCCTCAACATCGATTCTTAGCAGAACTTTGTGCCCACATCAGACAGCAACAGGATTTCTGACAAGGAGGTGAAACACGTTTTAAAAGACTGCTAATAATGCACTACTAACACACTGCGGAAGAAGAACATGTTTGAATGTACCAAATGAAATATTGATGGTTGCTGAAGGTGTTTGCCTTCTCCAAACACCACAGCCCGCAGACAACTGTAAGAAACTTCTCTTTCCAAATTCTTCATTCCCTCCTTACAGGTGCCTTGATGTCTGATACAAGGCAAAAGAGAAAGAGCCAACAATGTAACACACTCCCCCCTAAAAGGAATTCAAGTTCAGCCCTGAAGAAAATACTTACAAATCTAGAGGAGTTGTCATTCCTCACAGTTTTAGCATTTCCAAAAGCTGGAGAAAGAGAAAAACAAATAACAATGAAATCTATCAACACAAAATATTTAAATGCAAAAGATATCTGTGACTGTTTAGAGATTAAAGGAATCAAACTTCTGGGTATCAGTCACCAGGAACACATGGGGTGTGACAGACATGATCACAGATGAGAAAACACCTAGGGAAGTCCAAGGAAGATTTGTCCCAGCACCTCCTTTGTTTAAAGAAGTGAAAGGAAAACATACAAGTGGAAATAGTTCCAAGACAAAGCTGCACCTGGGTTGAGCACATATCCTTGGGGTTTGGATCAAATTTAAAACGTTATTACCCAAATAACTTTAAATATAAGAAATACTTCCTTCTCTTCAATTTAGAGGAAGAAATGAATCTTAGTTTCCAACTGAAGATGGCAAAAGATTGAGGCCAGAACTGAGGAAATTACAGAATGATACTTGAAAATTGTTTGCGTGGGACAGTTCAATTAATGGTTTGAAACGGATTTATTTATGCTATTTCAACACATTTATCCTAGCTTAAGCTGAACATTAATCAGCTGAAATAATCTGATTTACAATGAAAGTTTAACACAGTCTCTTCAGCTTGACCTAAACTGTTTCTGAATAGTTCAGTTTTAATTACTTCAGCACAAGTTTTCTGACAATGAAAAGTCTCAGAGGAAGGGCTTCCCAGGCCCCCCTGCATTCAGGTAGGGGCAGCCATCAATTTTGAACATAGGCAGGACAAGAACTCAGACTGGAGGGCACTTCAAGCTCTAAACATCACACATTCCCAAAGCATGCTGAGTCAAACAGGAGCGTCCCCTACATTATTAAGTACAGTGCTCCTATTCCAACAAGAGACTTTATTTATCCCAGTATTTATTTATATAGCATACATATTTTCAAAGATCAAGTCAAGTCAATGTTTTTGGACAGAAATAAATACATGCTTTTAGGATTCAACTTGCATGAGTAGACTTAATCAAAGAACTGAAGCCAAAAGGAAAAGTTTTTTGCTCCTGAAGGCCCAGGATAAGTGAAATAATTGTTTTAAAAATCTTTATGCCCTGCAATAAATCATATTTTCAACAACCAAATCTCTGAGCTGCATTTTCTTAAACACAGTGTTGAACAGTAGAGTCATTTATAACTGCACAGAATCAAGCACAAACATTCCATTATAAAGCATGAGACACATTCCTCAGTTTTCCCTTAAGTTCATTGTTTCCAGAAGTTAATTTACAGTAGCAACTGTAGTTAAAAAATAAAAATCCCCAAAGATAAATTATGCATATGTAACATTTCTGTCATTTTCTTGCATGGCAGCTCAACTGAAACAGATCTACATAACCAAAGAAAAATAAATCTAACCACAAATGCTTTTTTTCTGTCTAAAGCATATATAAGAAGCCAAGCTTGCTCAGAAGCCTTGTGGAATAGTCCAGTGTCCTACCTTCCAACAAGTTAAATAGTCAGCTACCAGAGCAGCAAGTGAACAAATAATACCCTAAAATGATAAGGCAGTCTTCTGTAAGCTTCGTCTATTCCTCTTGCATGAAAACAAATATTCACAAACCAACAAGAAATATGATACATTTGGCAGTCCCTAGGGAACAATCTAGCTTTGGAAAAAAAACCCTCCATACTTCCCATTCTATTTCTGTCTATATCTTAAATCTGCCTTCCAGAACAGTGATAAAAGCAATACCGCTTTTCTCTGTGAATTCGAAACAATGGAAGATTGCAATCCCCCCATTCAGCTTTAAGTGGAACATATCTCATCATCAAAGAAAGGCTCATCCAGCGTTTTTATTATTCTTACATTTTAACATTTCATCCTTCCAAGTCTTTGCTTACAATGTTTGTTTTGTCAGTGACTACATGTCAACAGTCAATGACCACATTTTACCCATCCAGTTCACCACTGCTCTCAACCTACTTTTGCATTCCTTTCCCTTATTTTTATTTCCCTCCACCTGTTCTCACTTGTGGAGTGCTTGTTCCCTATAAACTTCAAATCATGGTACAGATAGCTAGGCAATAAATACAATACTGAGACTCAACAGCCTTACAAACACTGCATATCATAGGGCCATAATGCAGAATTATTGTACAGTGGTCATGAGAATTTGCCTCAGCACTACAATAGCTTAGAGAGCTGTGAAAGGACTGAGCCAGGAATCAAGACCTAAATAAGTCAATGCTAAACAAGGCACTTCTGAAAGCAATTATTAGACAATGGGACAAAACTGCAATCTCTGAGGGAGATATATTCTATCTCAAGGAAAAATTAAAATCCTGTTTCTGGCAGCCAATGTCTTTAAATTAAAATGATTAACTAAGAAGAAAAAAGTCTTTCACGGGAGAGCAGGAAAGGAAGACAGGCCAACAAAGTCACCAGACCCAGGCAACAATAAGTCTCAGGGAACAGCAGGCATGCTTATGGATTGGCTTATTTTTTTCTAAGGTCCATTTCTTCACCCTTTTTTTCCTAAAGAAAAATAATGCTTTACAGAGCTTGTTTATTTACTAAAGACTATAATAATAATATAATTTGGGAGGGAATGAATCAGAGGGACTGAAGTCTTTTGATACAGCCAAGCATCATCAAGGCAGGGTTAAGAAAGGGTAAGCCCTTGGAGAGCTGCAGGAGGAGTCTGGGAAATATGACCTAACTTCCTAAGCTCTCCCATCATAAGGGAACCAGTTTTCTTCTTAAGAAAACCTTCCCATAACTGAACAAAATCTTGTAGCTCTGTTCACATAAAGCATTTCCTATGGTTTTTGGACACCAAATAACAACAAAACAAGAACCAACACAGTTTTCCAAAGCAGCTCAGCAGGGATGCTGATACACACAGAGGCAATACACTCATACATGCTCCATAAGAGTCTTACCTTCAAGAACTGGATTTGACTGCAAAAGTTGTTCTTTTACTTGATTAACCTCTGCCCCTTTTCCACACACAGCAGCTACATATGACATCACAAGTTTGCTCGCCTCTGTGGGGGAGAGAGCAAAATAAAACAGTTGTAATAATTGGTGAATAGGCTGTAAAATGATTTGCAGACTTGATCGCCATCACATTTTCACCATGCCAGACAGGAACTGTAAGCACATTTCATCTCTGTTTTCTTCTACATTATTGTATCATCTGGAAATGAGAAAGGAATACACCCTGCTATGAGACACATGCCATTACATCAGTAGACCTATTGTAAATACCTAGAGCCTTCTCAAGCTAAAAAAGCCACCAGTGGATATGGCACATTACCTACTGCTTTTTTACTTAGCTTCTATAGGAGGCAGCTAGTAAGGAAAGAACATTATCACTAGCTGACATGCTGGAAATCAGAGAGTCATAGAAAGGTTTGGCTTGGAAGGGACCTTAAAGATTATCCAGTTTCAACCGCCTGCCATGGGCAGAGACACCTTTCAGTAGACCAGGTTGCTCCAAGCCCTGTCCAACCTGACCTTGAACACTGCCAGGGATGGGGCAGCCACAGCTTCTTTGTGCAACCTGTGTCACGGCCTCATCACCCTCATAGGGAAGAATTTCTTCCCAGTACCTAATCTAAATCTACCCTCTTTCAGTTTAAAGTTATTCCCTTTGTCCCTTGCCCTGTCCCTACACACCATTGTAAAAAGTCCCTCTCCAGATTTCTTGTAGCCCCTTTAGGCACTGGAAGCTGCTCTAAGGACTCCACAGAGCCTTCTCTTCTCCAGGCTGAACAACTCCAGCCCTTTCAGTCCATCTTCAAGGGAGAGGTGTTTTAATCTAGCCTGAAGAAAATAGGCTTGAACAGTTTCTAATCACAAAGTTTTATGAGTTTATATAAGTAGATAAACAATAACACATGTAAACAACACTACACAATGTAATTACAACTCTAAAAGCCCACTACAAGTAATCGAGTAACATCACATAACATTATGCAGTCTGTTTCAAAGTAGAGAAAGTGAAGCATTCATTTAAACAATGAAACTAATTTGAAGGTATACGCTTTTACACAGTCTGGCACAATTTTTGGACTCTCAAAGCTGGGTTCCTATGGGTATCGATCACCCATACGCAGCCAGAAACAAATATTAAATAATACATCCAACCCTTACGTTTTTGCTCATCATGAGAGAGAGCAGCTGAGAATGAATTCTGTTTATAAACAGTCTGTAATGATTAGTATGATGCAAGAGAGTGAAATTTGAGGCAGTATCGGATGATATACAATGTAATTACCAACAGCTGGAATCCCAACCAACTCAAAGCAGTGGTCATAAAAAACACCCATTACTTGCTCTTCAGAGATCTGTTATAAATTCAAGGGTTTTATTTCAGGAAAGACCTGACAAACAAGAAGTTACGCCTTGGATTTTGATTCTTTCCTTTTTAATGAAATTTGTTTGCCAGTGTTAAATCACTTTCCCACATTGTAGAGGAAACTGAGCAAGCCTGCAACACAGGGAGCAAGCAGGGAACAAGAACTACAGAGGTGTCCATAAGGCCTCGCATCTCCTATAATTGTGCCTCAAATCCAGCTCTCACTTTTAAGAATCCATTTCCTTCAGAAATGGATTTAGAAGTACCAAATTATTTGAAGTATTTCCTAAAACAGACAACACCTTTAAGGAGAGCTACTCAGCCACTGAGAGAAGCACACACACTGAAGCAGCAAATACGCTATTACAAAATAACATGGATTAGGACAACACATAGTGACTTCTAGATAGACTTCAGACATCACTGAGAGAAAATAATGGCCCTGTCCTTCATTAGAAACTCTGGGGCAGTAAAGACACCAGGAAAGGAATCATCACCGTAACACAGAAAAACATTTAAAGACACCACTCATTCAGGTAATGTGCCATGCTTTCTTGCACAACATTACTATCAATTAGCACATAAACATGTAGCAAAACAAGAACAAAATTGGCAATAAATAATAAAAAAACCAAACAATTCTTCCAGCCCAAATATACCAAACATTCCGGCTTCCAAAATCTAAACCAGAGTTAAATAGGATCTGTACTAAGAAGTTTGTTTCCTCAGCTCCAGGAACTTCTTTCCTGCCCCTTTAACTCCCTTTTTTATTTCAATGAAAACCTGACTTTTCAGTTAATAGCCCCATTTCAGCAACAGTAGTTACATCAAATGTCAGAGACAGAATAGCATACATTCTGAGTTGATGATTGACTTGAATTTCAAACCAGGTATTATTCTGTAGTTACCTTTCTAAAGAAGGAATAATTCATATTATGCCCCATACGGCTATGAAAATTACAGAAGAGTCACAATTTCTATACAAATCTAAATCTACCAGAATGTCCTCTACAAGTAGAGAAGTTCAGAAACTCACAGCAATACCAGCACTGAACTCCTTTCTAAAGTCTGAACTCCTAAACAGAATCTCTAGCAATCATATTATAGGAACTTGATTATTTTAACATACACTTTTGCTGAACACGCATGTGTTTTCATGTTATTGAACTGAAAAGAAAAGGATTATATTACAAGGATTATATTTCAAGCCTTCTCTACTGGATGTTACTAATCAGAAAAAAAGACAAAGCTTATGCTTTACATTTTCACAAAAGGCTTGGAAAGCAACTTGTTATGCACTTTAAGTCTTCCTCAGTATAAGCATAAAAAGCTTCAAATTTCTCAGATTCAAAGGAAAAATCTCTTAAATTACATGGAACAGATGTATGCGTTCACACCCGCTGTCTCTTTTGCAAGTCACCTCAGCTTTAAACTGTTATTTCAGAAAATAACTGGCTTCTTTCTTTTTTAAGGCCTACCTAAAATGTTCTGCAGTTATGCAATCCTTACTTGATTTTGCCATTCCATTTTAAAAATTAGCAGTCATTTTCAAGGCAATTCCAGCTTTGCCTGAGAAACAGTGTTCTGGTACCTAAATCAATCTCAGAATTGCGGCTGAGCACAGCATGCTAAAGACTGATGAAATTTCCAAAGTAATCAGCTGCTATTATTTATTTTCCTTGGATAAATAGCATAATCCAGTTTAAATGCCTGTATTTATTAAAAGATACGAAAAAGTATCAAAGGATTGTCTTCCAGTCTAGAAGGCCACGAGCATTCAGTTTTCTCCATGGGGAGAGCCTGAAAGTTTTCTGGCCTTGCAATACTCTTATCACAAACCAGAATTACTTTTGCATGTGGATGAGGACACTGTACTAACACGCAATAGGACGGCATCATGGTGACTATGTGAAAAACACTAGTTTATCTTAGATTCACATCTACACCAACAAGCCTGACAGCATTCATCTCCTGCAATTACTAGACACAAAAAGGTACAGGTATCTATCTCCCAACTCTTGCAGGCCTTAACATCACTTTGCAAGACTCTGAACAACTCTCAGTGTTTCTTAAAAAGATCAAAACTGCTTATTACCTGTTTTCCCAGCTCCACTCTCTCCTGTAATAAGGATGCACTGGTCTTTGTCCTGGTCCCTTAAAGATCTATATGCTTCATCTGACAGAGCAAAGCTGCAAAGAAAGAGTCAATTAAGAATTAGATAAATACCAGCAATAACTACAATCTGCCCTTCACATCCAAGGTTGGGGGGTGGGGGATGGGGGAGGGAACTAAGCAAAACTAAAATCAACACGAACAAAAACCCAAGTGCCAATGTTCTCTACATGGTGAAACATTCACTTTTCAGAATATAAAGATCCACAGAAGCAAAATGGATACCTTAGTGGGTTATTTAGACTTTATCCAGGAACAAGGGAGCATAATCTAAAGTTTTTCTAAAGACAGCAAACTCAAATTCACAAAATTTCAGGGACATTTTGAACAAAATGCCATATTCTTCATTGAACAAAACATAAATGCATCAAAAGGATGTGTTCTGGCTAAAGACATTTACAAAGAAAGAAACAGGAGAATTTGGGGACTAAAAATACCATAAGATGTAATTTCTACTCTAGAAAGTATGAAGACATCTCAGAACCTTATAAAATATTGAGCATTTTAAGCATTCAAGAATTGCTGGACTTTTGCATAAATGTGCAAAGAAGTGTTTCCCAGTAACTGTATTCTTAACTCAGTGAGGGTGATATCATGTAGTGAAATTAAAGAATATAGTAGGAATCAACAGCTTTTCAGTGCCAAAAATATCTTTTCATGGAGCTCAGAACAGAATGACCCTGCAACTACTGGGCTACAGTTTGAATCCAGATGTGCTTTGTTGCTGTGCAGCACCATGTATTTTGGAGAAATGCAGATGTGTTACTTATATTTAGTTTTCTTTAGTAGCAATTTTGAGACACAGAATGGGTAATACTGATTTTGTTTCAACTGCATTCCATATTCAGTTCATGGAATAAAGAGCCCTGGAAACTGAGTATTAGAACCCCTTGGAAAAACTTAAACAAGTAGTATATGAAAGAGCACATAAAATCTAAAGGAAAAAAGACACACTTGCATTATACAATTTAAAGAAAAAATCTGGTAGCCAAACACAGCATATTTTGCATGAAATAAACATCCATTCCACAGACCAAGAGCTCTGTTAGATTACTGCACCTGGTAAAATATTTAGTGTTTGTATGTACTTAAAAGCGGATATTGTTTATTCCTTGGAATAAACAAACCATGCATGAAAACCAGAAATAAACTCAGGTCAACATGAAATGCATAATTGTTGCAGGTTCAATGCAACATTTTAGAAACTTGATCTTCGTTCTCTGACTGTTCAGGAGCTTTGCATTGAGCTGTAGCAATAAGACAAGGGGCAATGGGTTCAAACATAAACAGGGGAGGTTTAGACTGGATATAAGGAGGAAGTTCCTTACTGTGAGAGTGGTGAGGCACTGGAATGGGTTGCCCAAGGAAGCTGTGAATGCTCCATCCCTGGCTGTGCTCAAGACCAGGTTAGATGGAGTCTTGGGTGACATTGTTTAGAGTGAGGTGCCCCTGCTCATGGCAGGGGGGTTGGAACTGGATGATCTTAAGGTCCTTTCCAACCCTAACTATTCTGTGATTCTATGATAACTTAAAATAGATCAAGTATTTGTTTTTAATAATCTAACCACAGGCAGCCACAGCCCCTTTAAAGATAAGCAGGCTCTCTGTCATGAAACTAGTTAGGGGTACCATAGATAACACAATGCAAGCAGTGAGAGCCCTATAGAGCCTTTTCTAGTATACTATAGTTAGTTCATACTATTGTTACCACTGCCCCTTAGCTCGGGCAGTTCTTCCTGGCTTTGCTCCCCCAAAAAGTTTATGGAGGGCATGTCATATTGTCCACAGTTTATCATTATGTGCATATGCAACACCGTTTACACTTCCTCATCCCTCATCAGTATTAGATTCATCACATATTTGCTTATTTGTTTTCTGGGTTTTTTTAATGGTTGCACCACGTTATCAGCTCAGCAATCCGGCCAGAGACCAGCAAACCAAGCAAGTAGCACTCTGAAAAGGTTGGAAAACAGGTAAATGAAATACCTTTGAAACACCTAATGGCTCCTTTACTGCTAATCTCACCTTTTCCTCCCTCTCTAGCTCTCACCAATGATGCTTCTGTCATTCACTGCTCCTTCTTTGTATCCCTCTCCTGTCCTCTCCTGCAGCCTGTCTAGTGACATGACCAACCCAGAGGTCCATCTATCTCACTGCTTTTCTCACTCACTTACATTGTCTAAGGTCTTAAATTACTATTCTTCTCTCTGCACAGATGGTTGGGCCATCCATTCAACAACCAGGATCATTAATTCCTTTTGATACATATACCATTGGACCTGAATTAAGACTCAAACTTAATACTGCTATGGTGATTGAAGCATTGGAACTCAGTAGCTCAACTGGAGGTGAAAACGTGTTTACTAGAAAGTAACAGGCTGTAATGTTTTTAGCATTACAACAAAGTCAATTTGTGATGCAGCCAATATGCTGGAGAACTAGCTAAAAAATAATGTTCTACTCCTGCTGAGAGACCATGACACAATTTCTGGCATCCACATTACTGTTCAGAATCCAAACTACGGTAGCAGTAACAATTTACCAGACTCTCTTACAGGATATATTTGGGAAATTAGTTAATATTTGTTGAACACTACTGCAGGTAGATTTGTAAATTCAAGAGTACAATGTGTGGCACTCAGAAAAGCTTGTTCCAGCACACGTTATGTTTCTTTTTGCAAGCAGAAAAAAAGGGAGTAGGATGAAGAGGAAAGAAATTCATCTGTACAGAGCATTCACGGGCCACATGAGACAACTTTAATACTAATGCCATGGTTTCCATGGGTTGACTGAGGGAACTGTCTTTCAGCAGGAAGGTGAGATGCTAAGATGCTTTTTAAATTTACAGGCTGGACGGCTCATTATGTGCCTGCTGTCCTTCAAATAATCTCAGCCATCAACTAGTATTTCACTGTTGAAACAACTTTCTTGGCAGCAGTCTCACACCGGAAAACAAAGTCAGCATCAAGCACAGAGAAAGTACTCTGTCTGTTGATATAATGAGTTATGAGTTAATCAGCTTAGTAACCATCCATCTTTTCTAATACACTGAATTTTAGTTTTCCAACAGCCCCTGACAAAATACATTTTACTGCTTGATGTATTTATTAACTCTGCCTGCACTGCACAAAATCGTGTTTTTTCTCCTTCCACAGAGAAACTGGGAGTATAATACTGCAACAGGATGGAGAAGAGAGTGAGATTTTATCCAGTTCTGGTTTTATCCAATCTAGTCAAGAGGCACTTGGCATACATTAGCTTTTCCTCCAATCTAAACGATCCAGAAAAGCCTAATATTTCACAAGTGTATCAACTATTATCTGCAACAGAGAAAAGAAAGTAATTTCAAAGGAAGTTTTGTGTAAGCACTTATCAGAAGTTCCCTAATAGAAGTGTTCTAAAATCTACCTCTGACATTTCAACCACCGCTCCAACAATCCCATTGGAGGAGACATAACCAAGCTTGGGTTTAAATAACTAAGACTTCTTTGTTTTTCCGGCATTGCATAAACAGCATTAGACACACTCATGTCAAAGTCTGAACAAAGATCTTTATCTCAAAGTAAGAGACAGATCTCTTCATTTGTCCTGTTGACTTTCATGGCATACCATTACACCCCACAGTCCTTCCTAGCTATTATCACTTTCTATCTTTGCAATTAGAAGAAAAGCAACAAATAAAAGAAACACCCAAACTTTGAGTCTTCTGGTTCAAACTCTATTTGATCCAGAAATATATTTTCATGCTACTCCCTATTTGTTACAAACTTATAAAGTAATTTCATTTAAGGTCATTTCAGTTTAACATATTTTAATGATCCACAGACCACAAAGAATGTTCTTTTCCTTTTAGCAACATTAAGGGAAACGGCTTTGTAAAGTAAACATTTGCAACTATAGGTTTAAACCACATATCACTCTTTGAGCCACCTCACTATTACAGAACCTAAGTAAAAGTTGAGAATAGTTTCTAGTTTAAAAAGCAGTTATAAACCATGTGTTTTGAATTATCTGGTGAGTGTGTCAGCAGTGTCGTTTACCATACCTTATAATAAGCTCTCCTTTGATTTTTAGGTTTCCATGAATGAAGATGACATTCTCCTACCACAACACACAGAAATATTTACTGGAGTTCTCTTTTAGCTAGGGCTTAAGTATAGAAGCAATCTGAAATTTAAGCACCACCCACACCTAGCTCAGGAAGAAGGCTCTGCTTTTTTATAGCACTGCTTTTTCAGCCACATAGCTCCAGATGGCCAGATCTGTCACAAAGTCCTAAACTAAAAAAAGTCTAACAAAGCGAAACACCAAATAGGCCTCTCAATTTTCAGCAGCACAACAGCATCTCTGTGCTCTAACAAAACATCAGGGTCAGGAAGAGATGGGTCCCACCCATTCACCCCAAAACAAGCATCAACTGCTAGTGCTTCAGATGAATGCTCAAGATTGCACCTAGAATTACACTAGGGGCAAAAAACCTTGCTCTTATTGTCATAAATCCAGCTCACAGGAGCAGCTCTTCTAACATCTTTTTCTTTTCAAATAGAATCACAAGGATCAGAATTTGCCAGCTATTGGTACTTCTTTCCACTATCATTTTCATTCTTCCTCTTGCTTCCTTTAGCATTCTCAATTAACAGTAATTAGTTAATACTCTTTTAAACTCTCTCTGATTGCTTTCTCTTACCCACCGAATCAATTCCCTCATCCCATTTTCATTGGCTAGTGCTTTGATTGCAAAAGTGTCAATCCCAATTTTAAAACACTTATTGCTTAGTCTTGGATTGCCACTGCCAACTTGTTTGACGCTTTCAAAAGCAATTAAGAAAAGCTCTCTTCTTGACAGTTCCAGTTCCTCAGGAAGCAGAGCCCTGGTACCACTTCATTTCTGCTCAACTGTGTCTAAAACCAATGGCAGGATACTAGAAGTCAGTGGTTATCAAAGACTATATACCATGCTAGACTGAAAAAAAAAAACACAGCTGTAAAATGTAAACTATACATACATTTTTAATGT